TAAATTGAGGCATCTTTTACGAGTTGCATAAATAATATACCTGCATTTTTGCTGGACCGTAACGAATGTGATAATAAAGTGGTGCACCAAAACCATCCTGTGGTGACCACATAATTGTTGCATTATTTCCATGACCCCAAACATCAATGATATCTGTACACTGTGGTGCAACTTCTAGAAAAACGATACTGTTCGAGAAAATCTTTCTCGAAGTTTGTCTGCATTAAATGATCAATGGTTAAAACAAAAATTGAGGTTGAAAAAATTTGTGCAAAAATTTAAATAAATAATACATTACCATGTTTACACACTTCAAGTGTTGTTAATTTGTCACAATCAAGCTCGAATGATTGTTGAATACTGAACGGTTCCAATCGAATACACCGCGGTAGCATTTGTACCTCTGCCCAAATTCTACATTTACGGTCGAGCACTTCAGATGGTAACGATATCCGTAAACGACCACCACCTTTCCTTAATTCCTGAATATTTTCATGTAAATTATTTAAGTTTTCCAGATTAAATAAATTATTTCCAATTCAATCAATTCAATTCATATATCAACTTATAACTTGTTTTTTTTTCTTTTCTTTTTTTTTTAATTTACAATTCTTCTTATGCTATAATAATAAGGTTTAATGAATTTCCGATTAATTAATCTGTGCAAAAAATATTTTTTTCAATGAAATAAAACCAACAACAGATGGTGATGGTAATTCAGCTTCCGGTGAATTACACTGAACTGGATAAATTGCCGGACCTTCGTAACCATATATGTCCGCATCCGTATAACCGATTGGATTTTCCCATGAAATGTAAACAACCACCGTATCATCGTCCGCATTGTAAACCGGTAATGCAGTCTGAATCTAAAATAAGCAAAAGAAGTTGTTCTAAAACAAAAAAAACAAACAAACAAACAAACAAACAAACAAAGAAGAATCTGTAACATTTTATTGTTATCATACAAGTAAGAGAAAATAAAATAAATTACAAATATTTACAATATTCTATAAAATTGCAAGAAATGTGATTTTGCATGACTGTAACACTGTCACAACTTTTTTTAAAAGTTAAAATTGTTAATTTCAGGCAATCATTATTATAACTAATATAAATTATCAATATTTATCAGCCAAAATTATAGGCTTATTTAAATTACAACTTATGAATTCATTTTTCAAATCATAAATCAGGAAAAAAATAAACACAACAAATGGTCTTCATTATATATTTTGGTGAAATTGAGTAATTCTTATCTCTATAACTTTATCAATAAATTGAGAGAGGAAAAACAATCACCTTATCAGGTGTTATAGCAAATGTTGGTAGATCAACCGGTATTGCTCGAGGTCGATAAACAATCAACCAGCGATCTTGATCCGCAGTTTTCAAAATTACAATTGCTCGAAACTGATAATCTCGACAAGCATCATCAACTGTAAAATTAATATCCGGTGATGAGTTAACGCCCTGAAACTATTATTGTGTTGGAGAAAACTTAATATAAAGTTAATAATAGACTTAAAAATAGATAATGTCAAGAAAAGATAATAATCAAAATGAGAAATAAATATGGTTTCGTTCTTTTGCTACCACTAATCCAAACATACATATGAAAATAATTTATTATTACATTATTTTATATGCAAAAGATTTCGATGATATGTATTTACTCAGTTCTCTGAATTAATTAGAATTCATTTTTTATGTATTTGTAAGATTGAAATAGCTTAATTTGCAAATTTAGTCATTTTTTGCTGAATAATCTCAAATAAATGGAATGGAAAAAAATGAATTCATATAAAAATGATTCAAAAAATTAATATAGAACTTATTCAAAAAAAAAACAAAATGTAAACATGGACTGTTTTATTTTCGTTGCAAATTTCGTTAACATATAATTTGCAGATAAACTGAACTATTTTTTAATTTTAATTTAACTTTTATCTTTATTGCTAAGATAGCTGTGAATTAAAACTAACAGCAAAAATCCAATTATCCGGTGCAGTACTAACTGTTGAATATTCAAAAATGTATGAAAATGCATTGATATTGTTATCATTCATTTGTATTCGAATCCTTCGTGAATTTAAATATTCCGTTTTCACCGGAATGACATCATTTGTCATACTGTCTGTAATAGTTCCTTTTTTTAAAATGTAAATAATGAATTCATTTTTTATTTTAAGATTAACATTTTTTTAATTTTTTAAATTGATATAAAAAGTCCGATAAAGGATGGTTTGAAATATTTGAATTCAATGTTGTTGCCACATCAATTACTATTTGATTGCGATAATGTTGTTTAGAATGGATGAAGTTTTGTTAGAAAATATCAAAAGTTGTGAATAATTTTTCTTCAAAGTTTGAAAAATCTTTTGAAATCACTTTTGCTAACTATAAACTTTGATAATGCCCAAAAATTAAACTATTTAAAAAGAAAAATAAATTTAATTTAGTTAAATTGGCAATCTGCAAATTGCAATATCTTCAATAGCATACTTTGAATAATATTTTCATCCAAATTCATCCAACATAATTTTCGATTACTTGTGGTAGTGCAGTTGCATCTCGTTATGTTTAGCTGCAATTAAAACGATACTTGGAGTAACAAAATTTGCATATTTTGTATTTGACTGACTGATTATAAAATAAAATTAAATTACTAGCAGTATCATATCGTATAGCCGATTGCTTCATACTATCTGTGATTAAAACTGTACATCCAATATTTGTATTCTTTGATTCTCGATGAAAAATAATCAATCAATTGGTTTGTATTTATAATATTTATATATTTAACAATCTTAGCATAAACAAGATGAGATAGTTTAAATTTTAACAATTATTTCACACAAATAATATGATCAATATATTTCATCTTTATTACTCATTTTCAATTTATATATAAAACATTACTGATTGCCTCAGTTTCTTCTCATTTTTCTTTTTCTTATCATATCATCGACTAGATTAGCATAATTGATATCAATGTGATGAACGGATGATATCTTGATGGAGCTGATAAAATGATAACGAATGAACTAAAAGGAAACAAAGAAAAAAAAACACAAAATTATTCAAATCTGTTTGAAAATAGTTTTTTCTTTTGTCATATGAAAACCATAGCAAAACGAAAAATTCGGTCAAGGACATTGTAAATTGTAATCTTTAGTACCTCACTAAACCTATTTAACCTATATTTTATTCAGGCAACAATTAAATGGAACAATTACAATGACTAACCATTTGTTCATTTAAAAAAAAATTAATTCGTATATTCAATGAAGGTTAAAAAATTAATTATGCAGTATGGAAATGAATATTCAACAAAAATACATATACATAAGTTTGATACATCGATCAAAAGGAATCAAATTGCTGTGCTTAAAATCAGAAAAAAAAATTTCATTTCACTTTTTTTTGCAATTTCAATTGTTTGCTTAAATATTATCAATCGCTTAAATATTATCAATAAATAGTAAAATAATCTATCATAATATTGCTATGAGGCATGAAAAACATGAAAATTCTTTATTTTCAATGTGTTTTTTTTTTTTGATAATGAGCACATTTTGTTAACCGTAATTGATAGAAATTAATTGCAAATATTTGGAAAATTTTAATGAAAAATCATAAAGCACAGCAATGAAAAATATTTTGATAAAGCTGATAAATTTGATAGGAGAATGCTTGGAATGTTTGAAATTAAAACAATAATAAGATTTTTTTTTTTTGGTCCTCAAATCTTTAGACATTATCTAAATTTATTCCGATTCCTCAGATTGATTAGTTGCTTCAAAATTTGATTGATATAATATTTTGAAAAGTGAAGAGGAGATTTAAAAATTCGTAAAGCAGAAAGCATATCATATAGTTAATTCCCTATGGATAAAAAGCTTTCTTTCCATACTTCATGGAAAATGTCATATTGGTGATTACTATAAATTAGATTATCATTGTCATTCATTAGTGAACTATTATAATATCACCACCACTGATAATCTCTGATCATTTAAACAATTCTTTTAAGAGCTGATAGTTTTAGAAAATCAAATTTTTCATTTTTTTTAGCACTAAAATTTGAGCTAAAGCAAAAAGAAAAATGGGCAGCATTTCGATTTAAAATGATTTAGTAAATCATATCAAAATTATTAACTACAAATTTTGATTTTTGTATCAAAAGAAATGTTCAATTAGCTAAGTTAATAAATTTAACAATTCTTTTTGCCTACCATTTTATCCATTTTTTTTTTGCTTAAATATCATTATGAAGGCATAAAGAAACCCCAATAACTAACCTGACCAGTATTGAGGCACTTTATATAGCAATCAATTAGACATTTAGCTTGTCGACTTGTAGCGCTATTTGTCACGGCCAAGAATATTGAGAGAATTATGACTAACAGCAACATTCGTTTTATCCAAAGTTCACTGCAAACAGAAAAATTGAAGAGGTCATGAAATGAATATTTTGAATAATTTTTGTGAGAAATACAAAATTGTTGCCAATAATTGGCTTCCATACTAAATGAGAGAAATAAATGAGGAATGAGAGATACGAAATGAAAAAGGAGCAAATATCATTCAATTCATTCTAACTATTCCATTTTTTTTTTTTTTGAAATTTCTTTTATATAACAATGGAATTAATTATTTTTAATTCACGTTTATTAGTTGCCATAAAAGCATAAATAATATTGTATAAATGAAGAAATAGCAAAAGCTCATTAAAATGACCTCGTAGTTAATATTTTAGAACAACAATATTTTTCTAATATGTAAACTAAAATAAATCACATAATTGATGAAATAATTTTTTGATATTAAAATATTAAAGAAATCAATAATGCAACAAGCATGTTTGTTTTCATCAATCTTTAAAAAAATAACAATATTTGAAAATTTTTCGCAAATCAATTTTATTTAACATCTCCAATTTTAAGCATAGTCCAGTTTGATTGTTGCCTTGCAATCAAATATAACAAAAAGAGAGAGAGAGAGAGAGGGAGGCGAGAGAGAGGCGAGAGAGAGGGAATGAAAAAAGATACAGAAAGGATATCAGGAAAATTTATAACGAATTCATATTTGGTTGAAACAAAATTTCACGAATATTTCGTATACATATTTCAGTAGAATTGAATTCTTCAATAATTTTTGAAGAGGAAAAAAATACTGAAATTGTTTGATTTTGAATTATATTTAACATTGTAAATCATAACATAATTAAAAAAAAAAAGAATTCAATGGCATAATGCCAAATTCCACTTCCTTTTTCATTTTTCTTTTCTTTTTGTTTCGATAATGCAATCAATGCAAAAGTTCAAAATAACTGTGATTGCAAATTCCGCAACACACTCGTAATTGCATGCATGCCGTGCTAGTAACAATACATGCATCACTTTTTAACTATCATTAAAATTTACTCCCTTCTCCACTATCCATTTGAAGCGGAGATAAAACTGATGATAAATTATCTGAGAGTAAATTCAAAAAAAAAANAAATCAAATCATAATTGCAGCAAAAAAATTTGAAGCAAATTACGCAAAATAAATTAATTGTTGTAAATTTAAAAAAAAAAAATGATTACACATGTCCAATGAAAAACACTTTTTCAACAATTCTGCACAATTTATTAGATTAATTTATTTGCTTCAAAAATTTTTTTCTCTCATGAAACGAAAAAACACGAAACTAACAAAATTCTTTCATGAAATGAACTATCAATTAATTCCATCGATTATGGAAATCATTAGTAACTGTTATTATTACTTCAAGATAGACTACTGTTTTGTCAAACTTTTAGCTCTTTTTTTTTTTAATTTTGAATCCAATTTTTTATTATCTTAAACTAAGACATAAGAAAATAGTATTCCAGCGTTCATCGAACTGAAAGACACGGTATTTAGCAACATGCACAGTTCATGACCTCAATCATTTCCTAGCATTTACATTTTCATATTAATTCAAATTTAGTTTTAGATTTGTAGAATATTGTAAACATTTTCAATTTTAATATAAATTTGTTAGATAAAAGATTACAGATAATATTTCCGATAAATTTCATTGCTTACTGAATAAAGCATTGTTTGATTTGTTGTCCAGTAGGGTTCATAAATAAAAGAATGGTAAGGAATTTAATTTTTATTACAATAAAAATTTCATCAATTTTTTTTTTTTGAATACGTGCTGCTGCTAAAATTATTTGCAAGACTGAATTTAATTTCTCCTTTTGAAGAAGCTATTAAAAGATAAAAGTTGGAATTCAAATTAATTTGATGGATGATTGTTGTCATTTCGTAGATGTCTCTGAACAATTTAACTTTCATTTCTTTCTTTGCTGTTAACAATCCCCAAAATACTGAATTCATTACTATCGTTACACTTAAAAATATTGTATGCTTTTAATTTACAAAAAAAAAAAAGGAAAATTTCTTGATAAAAGTGAACAAATCGCTAATTAGTATGTTTAGTTTAATCTTCTCCCGTATATTTAATATCAAACTTCGAAAAGATTTGTAAAATTTTAAGAAAAAAAATTTTTTCGCAGAAAATGAAAGATTAGAACTGATATTTGATTAGAAGCATTGATAAAAAAATGATAATTATGTAGGAATAATGTAAAAGTTTTATCAAATATGATAATCGTTGCACATTACAATTTGTTTAAATTGTAATCATTATAATTCATAGAAATAATATTAAAAATATTAATGATTATCAACGATTAGTAGTAACCGATAAATACGATTGATTTCAAAGCAATTGCAATAATATAGAAAGCAATGATTATCCCATGCCAGAATTTGTACATATCAGGTCATTTTATAACATTATAACAATAAGATTTTATACAATCAAATATACTCCATATTTTTCTTTAATTTCTAAAGCAATTAAAATCTCAATAATTATTTTTTTAGTAATTAATGAACAGATTTAAAGTAGTTAAAATCTAAATAATTATTTTAATAATTAGTGAAAAAAATCAGGCTACCGTAATTTAGTATTTATGTCATCTAATTTTTTGCATAACATCATGTAGCAGTGATAATAAAGCAAAATCATGAATTCGATCGGATTATCAAAAATGAAAGAGCAATAGTGACAGATTATAAGAAAACAAGA